TAGACTTCCCATTTTCTCCATTTTTCCTCAAAGGAATCATGCTGAGTTCCTCTGAATTCAGTTTTTTTTTTGAGTTGGAGTCTCACTCTGTCGCCCAGACTGGAGGGCAGTGGCCGCTCCCGGCCCCCGCAGCCTCGACCTGCTGGGCTCCGGCGATCCTTCCGCCTCAGCCTTCCTTGTAGCCGGAATTACAGGCACGCGCTACCACGTGTCAAGTATGATTTTTTTTAATTTTTTTTGATTTATTGTAGAGATGAGGTCTCGCTGTCCAGGCGGGTCTCGAACCCGCGGGCTCAGGCAATCCACTCACCTCAGCCTCCCAAAGGCGTGGGATTACAGGCTGAGCCACCAAGCCCGGCTTTGAATTCAGTTTTATATTTAATATTCTCCAGCATTTTGATCTTTCTTTTTCATGAAGAAAAAGACAGATATCAATGAATCCTTGACTTCCCTTTGAAAAATTTAAATTTCTCTGTGCAGAACTGGGTAGCATCCTTCTAAGCTTTGGAATACCCTAGGGCAATCACCATGTTAGTAATTTATTTTATCTGTGACAAGGATGACAAGTCACCTAAGCAAAGTATGCTTTCATATTCATCATGATAAAAATTATCTTACAACATAAACTTATTTTAAAAGCAAAATGGTAATTATTGTAACTTTGTCCTCAATGCCTCACATATCTAATTTGAGTGGTAGTTCAATGGAACTATTATAATTTGCCAAATCTGGCAGTTTGCTAGATTCTGCTTTTTTATCAAGCAATCTTGTATTTCTGGCATTATCTCACTTTCTACATGACTTTTTCAACTTTCTGCCCTCCTCTCAGTCCTTCAACTTGTCCCCCCATATATCTATCCACATTCTAGCAAGTGACTTCACCTCCTCCATATGACATGAATGACTTCATTCCAGTCACAGATTCAGTCTCTTTTCCCAGCCAAGGGCCATCCCCCTACTTGTGCTTTTAGTTCTATCTTTTATCAGTTTTTCAGAAATACTCTATAACTTGCCATGCAATATTTTCCAAGTATCTTCCACTTCTCATTCTTAACTATTCCATTACCACTTAATTTGAACATATTCAAATTTCACCCATTTTATTAACTCTTATTGACAAGCTCACTACATTCATGTCTTGGTTTTTTGTGCCTTCCATTTATTCCTCACCCTACTTTCGGTCTCAATTTCATACTTGACACTATTTCTTTCAAGGTAATCAGTCATAACCAAACAGCATTTTCAGTTCCCAGCTCTTCTGGTTTTCATTCAAATAGTCCAGTCATTCCTTATCACTTTCCTTTGTTTCAATTTGTCCTGTATCCAATCACCAAACTTTTGTGTGCCTCAAAGCCCTGAACTAGACCTACGTCTATCTTCAGCCTGTAAAACTCATTAATTACCTTGGTTTTATTAATTGATTTTTTTTTTTTTGTAGAGACAGGTTCTCACTATGCTGCTCAGCCCACTTTGGTCTCAAACTTCTGAGCTCCAGTGATCTTCTCATCTTGACCTACCAAAGTGTTGAAATTATAGGGTTGAGCCAATGAGCCCAACTGAGTTTGTACATTTATGACTTCAGATCATTCCCAGTGTTTTGTTCTGATACTGGAGCTTATATAACTGTTACAGGTTGGGTTCCCAGGGAAACAATTCTGAGATGGAAATTAGCAGACAAGAAAAATTTTAGGGAGTACCTTAGGACCCATATCTGTGGAAGGGAAAAGGGGAAAGCAGAATGGGAGAAGTTGAACTGCAACAGTTTTTTTAAATTATAAAGGTATGGGGTACAATTCAGGATTAGGCATACAAATGTTGATTATGCAGGTACCCTTGTTGATGAGGTATGCCCCTCCCTCCCCGAGCAGTTTCCCTCAAATGCCAATCTCACCCCCCCCCGACAGTTTCCCACTAGGGATTCCCAGTTTGCCAGTCCCTATCTTGTAGTAATTGTTCAAGATCCACTTATGAGTGAAAACATACGGTACTCTGTTCTTTATTTCTGTGAAAGATCACTGAGTATGATCAACTCTAAGTCCATCCAAGTTACTACGAAGTTCACATGTTTGTCCTTCTTTATGACTGCATAATATACCTTTGTGTATATGTACCACATTGTTTTTCTTCAGTCCAGCTTTGATGGGATACTTGGTTGGTTCCATGTTTTTGCTATTGTGAACAGGGCTGCAACAAACATACATGTGCAGGTATCTTTTTGCAGAATGATTTGAGTTCCTCCACGTATATTCCCAATAGGGGAATTCCTGGGTCATATGGAAGGTCAATTTCTAGTTCTTTCAGAAATCGCCACACTGTCTTCCAAAGAGGCTGCGCTAGTTTGCATTCCCACCAGCAGTGCAGAAGGATTCTTTTCTCTCCGCATCCTCTCCAGCATCTGTTGTTTGTTTTATTAATGATGGCCATTCTTACTGGGGTTAGGTGGTATCTCAATGTGGTTTTGATTTGCTTTTCTCTGATGATGAGTGAAGCTGAGCACTTTTTCATGTGTCTGTTGGCGACCTGTATATCTTCTTTTGAGAAGTGCCTGTTCATGTCTTTTGCCCACTTGCCTCAGTGCGTTTGAGTTCCTGTGTCCACACTTCTTCCCCTTTCGACTAGTCCCTCCAGACTACAGTCACTGGCGTCTTTCTAAATTTCACAGTAAGCATCTCATTCCATTCAGTGACTTACAAAATCTTTAATTTGGCCTTCAAAGGCTGTTGCCATCAATCTTTCAGCCTCTGCAGATTTCATTTCCACATATTTCGTCACTCTTTACATTTCATCCATACTAGATTTCTATTCGTTTCTTGGAAACAACATGTTCTTTGCTGTTTTCCATATTCTTCATCAACTGAATATTTTTCTTTTCTCCCTTCCAATCTTAGTCTTTATATCACTTTCTCACTCAAGACTTGCTTGAACATCCAGGATTAGACTGTATCATCTGGTGTTTACTGAAAAAGATGGTGTCTTCCCTGGCATTCCTCAACCTGTGAGGATTTGCTTATATCTTCCTTCCCCATGAGAGCATAAGTTCTATCAGAGCAGAAACAGTGTGCATCTTATCCACTGTTTTATCCTCAGTGCTTAGCATAATGCCTAGCATATGGTATGAGCTAATAATTTGATATTATATATGCCATTCCTTCTACTTGGAATGTCTTTTCTAGTCTTGTAAGCCTCAGACTTACTCTTACTTTTTTCCAAGAAGGTTCCAATATCCCACCCACCCACCCACCCACCCACACACACAAAGTTAAATACCACCTCCTTTGTGCCACAATGGTACCTTGTATGTGCTTCCATCATTGTATTTTTCACACTGTTATTTCTTTAGCACTTGAAGTTTATAGACCGGCAACTTTGAATTGTTTTGCCAACAGAATTGTTTTCTTTCCCTTCATCCTATAACAATCAGCAGATTTCACAGTAAACAAATCAGTAGATATGGTAATACTGGGAACATATTTTCACCATAATTATCCACCTTGGGCAAAGAAGCAGTTGTCCAGGTTAAACAGAGCAAGCCATTTCCAGCTCACCAGAAACATCACTAGATAAGCCACATTCATCAACCATGTCTTATGTCTGACCCCTTGGGCATTTGAGTTTGCTGCCTTCGTGTTTGTCTCTGTTACTAAACTGAGTCATTTCTTTTTATTTTGTGAGTTCCTTGAAATAATGAGGTGAATTTTAATCATCTTGAATCCTGCTACCCTTCATGTTTCCTGGGATATTACAGTTGCTCTATTGAGGAATTGGTTTTAAAGGATTAATGCTTTCTTATTGATATTTAATTTATTTATGAAATCCACTGTGAAAACTACTATAGGAGATTAGTTATAATAATGAATATAAGTCCAAGGACAGTTATAAAATATACATGTTTAACACTGAATGAGTTAATATTTAATCCACAGGTGGATCTAACTGTGGCTTCATTTCCAGGAGAAGTTACTTCATAACTCAGCAGTAGAGAATTGTAAGTTGAAGGTTTGAAAAATGTCATCATAATGAGAAACTAAGTTTTTGAGTTAGACTGAACTGGATAGCTTATAGAGAATAAAATACATTGTTCTAGTACCAATGACAAGTCATCATAGAATTTTTGGTATCTGGTTATTATCAGTAACCAGATAATGCTATAACATATGCTTATAAATGAGCTGAAAGAACAATTGGAAGTAGAACTGGAACTTCAAATGAAAAGTGACAATGTCACAGTTTCAGGTCTCTGAAAGACCTTGGTCATGTTGACACTGTCATTTTCTGGTGTTTGTAGGTCCCAACGACTTCAGATTTCGTAGTCTTCGTGATCTCAACAATTGTCTGATTTTTTAAAAAAATACTTGAAAAATGTAAAATATTAAAGTGGCAAGGGTCATTCTTTTTTGGTATGTATTCCTTTAATAATATTTGAACACATGGGTAGTACACTATCCTACAAACAACGTGGTTGCAAATGTTACAGTTAATTTTAAAAGTTCTTTACATTTAGAAAGTCTGAAGAGTAGTCTCTTCTGCATTTAATAAGGTAAATTCACTACAATAACATATAGTTTCTTTTCTCGTGTGTTTGGTTCTTCATATTAACATAAACATTGAATTTAAAATGACAGAAAGCTTTAACATTAATGAAGATGATAAAGAAAAAATATGAATGCAAAAGTTTTGCACAAACAGTATATTGAAGGCAATTATATAGTCTAGTCAATAGGCATTAGAAAATAAAAATATTTTGGTATGTAGATCAACTTTTAACAGATGGAGGATATGAAATACAGATTTGGTTATGTCAAATCATCCAAACTAGAAATAAAGCAACAACATTTTTTGGTTTTTATTTATAGATAAAGAAAGCATTCAGCATGAACTATTTAGATTCAAATTTTTAAGCAAGTAAAAACTTACAGGTTTGTAACTCAGCACATTTCTATTAAAAAATTATATTTTATAAAATATTTTATGATGTGTTAGAATCTTTCTGCTACTCATTTTTAGGTCCTCAGGGGTTCTTGATAAGACAGAATCCTTGATGAAAAAGAGAGAGATTTTTGAAATAAGCATCAATGCTAGTTAAGCATTTTTTACCATCTTAAACTTTTCAACAGGTTATATAATAAGTCATTGTTTTAAGTACTAATAAGTGCAAGTAATTATACTTGGTAAATAATACAACTTTTTAGAAACCCAATATTATTTACTACACTAACTCACCATTTTTTACAATTTTTTTCTAAGCTATATGCTTCATTTTATCCTGGAAATGAGAAATTCATGTTATACTAAAACATATAGAATTTTTTCTTCCCTGATTTTATCACAGTTAAAAATAAAAATTATAAATAATAAAATTTTCCATCAATGTATGTCTTATGAATTTTTTTCTAGGGTGTTTAAAAGTATCTAAAAGTTGATATTATATAGTTCATATAGTTCATTGTTTACAAATATTAAAGCAGGACCAGATGAACTTTGCCAGTAGTTTTGTTTGTTTTTAATATTCCTAGTTGGACAAAATAATATATATTCCATTTCATACTATATCTTCAAAAGTGTCAAAATTCTGATGATATAATATGGTTGACATCATCTTATTGTACTTTTAAAATATTTTTCTAAGAAAAGTACAAGATTATTTTACTAATTAATAGAAAATATATATTTTAAGTTGTCACATCAGGAAATGTTTCAATAAGTGATTCTAAATAGTTATATACAACTGTAGTCCTGAAAATAAATACTATAATTTTAATCATTATTACTAATATGCTCTTGCCTCAGAAAAAGGGTTAGACAACTGTATTTCCCAAACTTTAGTAATTACCCATGAGCTTATACTAGAAGCAAGAAAAAATGTGATTTTTAGCTCATCTTAGAGCATGTAGGTTATTTTTTGCACATTCAAATATTACACATATAAAATAACTTATGTTTCCAATTGTCAAGGTGTCATAAATATCAAATGGTAAACACTGCTTTGACTTCAAACAACTCAGAAAATTGTTCAATTAATTAAGATTCCTAGGCGTTTGCTTGGTTTAAAAAAATAAAAAAATTATGATTCTTTGTTTTTCAAAGACCATAAAGTAGCAATGTTATAGCACATAATATTATAAAATTTATAATAAATGCAACTCTTAAATAATAGTCTACAAAAAGAAACAGCTGAAGGTGCAATTCTCATCTTACCTTTCTCTTGGAATACATCTTGGATAATTTAACTGCCCTCTGTCACATTGCACTCGAAGTTCAGATCCAATAATAGAGGACTTAACTACATAAGTACCTCCCCTACAAAGAAAATCAATATACTCGCCATGGAAAATATATGGTCTATTGTCAAAATTCCATTTCAGGAGTAAATTATTCTTTTCCATGTCGTCAGAAGATAATGTGCAAGGTTCTGGGGGGAAAAAGAAGAAGAAAACTATTTTGATAATCTTGGTACTAACAAGAATTATTATGTTGCCTACCCATGATGACCTTGATTTGGAGAAAGGTTATATCCTGCCAATCTTATTTTTATGCCATTAGGTTTTTTGAAGATAGCAAACCACAAAAAAAAAAAAGGTGTTTTTTAGAAGCACTGATGATCTAACAGTTATTAAAATAACATTCTTTTCCCCTTTTCTTCTTCAGAACATTCAAATAAAATACTCATGAGATGAATCAATGATTGCCAAATAGATGATATTTTATGGAAATGTAGAAACAAGCTAGGTTTTCAACATCAACCCAAACCTTATAACTTTATATCATCCAAAGTGGTTGACAGTTTCTTCTTTTTTAAATGTGTAGTTAAAGAACATCAGGATTAGACTAAGCATTAAAAGTATTATTATGTCCTTTCTCATATGTATTAAAACAAATTTTAAAAACTTAAATTATGTATTAGGATACTCAACAAACCTCTTTGATTTTTTTTCCTGTAATAAAACCATTGATAGTTTTCAAATATCAAACTTCTTCAGAAAATGAGTTTCTTATGTCTTTATTTGCCTCCTAGATGACCTAGCATTAAAAACTAACAGCAACACTATCATAAGTTTCTTTTTTCTTCTTCACAATTTCATAGGCATAAGATTAATTCTTTTTCATGGATCTTAGCAACCTCGGTATACATTTATTTTTATTTTCTTATAAAGTCAAGAACTTTCACCTTTTCACTAAGAAAACTACTCTGGTATATCCAAGCATCACTACTCTTGTTCTCTGGGGCTATTATCAAGTAAAATAAGATTTACTCAAACACAAGCATTGCAATTCTATGACAATGGATCTGATAAAACCAAGATTATGAAGTGACTAACAGGCCTACAGTGTATACAGGCTTGATATGCTAGAAAAAAGAGTGATTCTAAGTAAAATATTATAAATAAATTCTAACAACATATAAAAAGCATAATTTATCAAAACCATGTGAGATTTCCTACTGAACTATAACCATGCTGCAGTGTAAAAAAAAAAAGTGATATAATTCACTAAATTTTCAATAAAAAACAAAAGTAATAGTCATATTACTTTTTTTTACTTTCTATTTCAACAGATATTGCTAAAATTAAAAACCCATTGAAGATTCTAAAAAATACACTCCTAGCCGGTTTCGGTGGCTCAGCCTGTAATCCCGTGCCTTGGGAGGCTAAGGTGAGTGGATTGCCTGAGCCCGAGGGTTCGAGACCCGCCTGGGCAACTTGGTGAGACTTCATCTCCACAATAAATCAAAATGAGCCAGGTGTGGTAGCACGTGCCTGTAATTCCAGCTACTTGGAGGGCTGAGGCGGAAGGATCGCCGGAGCCCAGCAGGTCGAGGCTGTGGGGGCCGGGAGCGGCCGCTGCCCTCCAGTCTGGGCGAGGGAGTGAGACTCCAACTCAAAAAAAAAAAAATTACACTCCTAGCAAAATAGAAAGAGAAAATGTCTACATCTTAAACTTGATTTTTAAAAAGAATCTAACACTTGAAGATAAATTATTAAAAGTTTACTTATGAGACTGGGAAACAAATAAAGATATCCAGTATCTCTTCCATTCAACATTGTACTGAAATGCTAAGCCAATGAAATATGATAATAAAAATAAGCAAAAGTCATCATTGGAGACAAAGGAATTTTATTATATATAGATACACTATTTAATGCCTCAGAGGGCCTTGTAATACAGTTATTTTTATTAGGATGTCTTACTAATAAAGTACTCACATGCTTTACCTTTTTATATTGAGATGACTATTTCTATCTTTGCTCCCCCATTGTATTCATGTATTCTATTGCAGTACCAATTACACTGAATTATGACTATTAATATGATTACCCATACCACTATGGCCTATTCATCTTATAGCCCCAAACCAAACTAGTACCTGATACAAGATCTGCACTTAACAAATACTTATTAAAGCAAACTAGACTATAGTTATTTATGATCTAGAGGAAAAAACGTATATCAATGATTAAATAACCACATTAAAATAATATAACAGAAAGTTTAAAAATATACACTTTTACTTTATTAAATAGAGGTATATCTAGTACTACCTACCTAAACATAGTGGTGGCATAGTCCAAACTCCCTCTAAACAATAGATCTCCCTAGACCCTTGTAGGAAATGGTGATCAAAACACGTGTACTCTATTGAGGAACCATTTTCATAGGTGCCTATTGTTGAACCAACAATGACTCCATTTTTAATAACTGGAGGAGATGCACACTTTTCTTTAGATTCTGAAAAAATAAGTTTAAAGTATACAATGAATTGCTATAATGAGTATCCAGTGCTTTTATAATTGCTACAGAAATAAAATCAGATATTTCATATAAAGGCATTTTTTTAGACAGTTCTCAAACACTTTTTAAATATTAAAAACATTTTCCGACAATATCATAATATATAACTTATTTTTACAATGAGAATCACAAGTTATAATATTTAAATACATATATCAAGTTATAATATTTAAATACATATATAAATCTATCAAAGTGTTCACAGTTATGATTTATTTTTCTCTCTCTGTCTCTTTCTCTCTTTTTTGAAGTGGAGTTGTTGCCCAGGCTGGAGTGCAGTGAGAGGATCACAGCTTACCATAGCCTCAACTTCTTGGACTCAGAAGATCCCTCTGCCTCAATCTCCCAAGAACTATAGGCATGCACCACCATGCACGGTTAATTCTTTGATTTTTTTGTAGAGACAAGGTCTGGCTATGTTGCCTAGGCTAGTCTCAAACACCTGGGCTCAAGCCTCCTGTCTCGGCCTTCCAAAGTGCTGGGATTACAGTGTGAGCCACTGGTGCCCAGTCTCTTTTTCCCTTTTTATCTAACCCAAAGTGAAAGTTTAGATTTCTCTTTAATCCATGCTTTCTATATGTATTGCCTTCCTTTTCCTTTTTTTTTTCTTATTAAAAGTAATTGTTTCCATATCCAGGGAATACATAAAATTTCTCACACTGTGCATCAAGTTCTTTTGTGAGACAATAGTCTCCAACAAATCTTAAATAAAGTGTTGTTCAGTGTTGTTGTGTTCACATAGGGCTGATCAATTGTCTGATAAGCTGATGACATTTATGAAAAACTTTTGATATTTTTTCCTTCATAAAATTGACGTATTGGACTTAAAAATGTCAGAATAGCCATCCTATTTAGGTGCATATAACTGACTGGAAATTGCAAGTTGGATTACTCTCAGTTTCATAGATTAGAAGATGATAGTGGTGAATTGCTTAGGGTCATAAATATAAACTTTCAACCTAAGTGGAAGATATTGATCAAGTAAGAAATTCTGATCAAGTAAGAAAGAAAATACTTTTTATTTTTTTTACCTTTTCTGACACATAGAGGATATTTCACTTCTCCTCTATTGCACTGCACAGATAACTCAGACAATTGGGCTGATGGAGATAAGTCATATCCCTGTTTACATACAAAATCTATTAAATCTCCATGTAAGACTTTTCCTTCATAGTTCCACTTCATCTCTATGTTATTTCTGTTCATGTTATCCACATTAACAGTACACGGTTCTGAAAAACAAAATGTTGTTTTAAATGATTTCCTCATCTGACAAATATAAAAATGATATATATTAAATTATGACAGGCACCAAAAGCAATATTTTACATTTATCATTATTAAAGCAATTCATACATATATGAGAAAATATATACTTTATTACTATCAAATAAATTTATGCATTTCTTATTGTCTTCATTATGTCATAAATTAAGACCACTTTATTTAAAACATTTAAGTTAATAATTATTTTCTTTCTATAAAATAAAAACCTTGAATTCAAAAATATATTCACTGAATAAATATTTATAGAGAAACTGCCACTTGATATAGGTATATCAATAAATAAACTAAAAACCCCTGCCCTTATGGAGTTTGCCTTCTAACTGGGAGAAACATTCACAATGAATAATAAATATAACAAATACATCCATCTATAATTTGTGGTTATCTTTAAACTATAGCATATGATAAACTAGATGAAAAAAATGGAAGGGACATGTAGAAAGGGCTCGGGAAAGGAGCTTGCACTTTAAAACAAGGTGATTGGTGTAGTCCTAAATAAGAGTAATATTTGCACAAAATCTTGAAGAAGTTCACAGAGTGAAGCATGTCATTTTCTGATAGAAGGTTTTCCAGGCAGAGGGAACAACCAATGCAAAGATGAGGTGAGAGCACACGTGGCTTGTTTGCAGAAGAAAAAGGAGACGAGAGTAACTGGAATAGTGAGAGCGGAAAAGACAAGTAGCAAGAGGTTAGAGAGGTACATTATGCCTGTAACAATAATTCACAGAGAGAAAATTCTATTCCTTATCACACTGTTGTCTGAATTTGTAGTGATAATTTTTCAAATTTCAACAGATAAGCAAGATGTACAAAGATTTCTCATTTTGCTGTGATTGCAGATTGACTTTCACTCAGAATTTGCTTTGATTCATTAGCATCGGATAGTCTAACTGTCTTGAGGCAATTGTTTCAGGTACAGAATGCTATATTCCTTTCCATTTTTTAATTTCTTACAAATAGCTTGCTTCATTACTGGGTTTTACTTTACAATTGTAAACTAGCCTCTATCCCCAGAGATTACTATACTTCCATTCAACTCAATATCAATCACATCATCAAAAATTTAATATCAAAATATAGATGAATAACAGAAAAATTATAAGTGAAGATGTATCTGAATTTGAATGGAAACAGCATCCTAAGATTTGCTTGAAAGGCAAAAACTGCAAACAAAAGGTTGAGAGTACTCAGGACTTAAATCTTAAACATATGCATATTTTAAAACACTAAAAATGAAAATTAAAAATACCTACAATATATATGATTCTCAAGTGAATAATATAATTTATATTGATAAAGATCTTATGAGTATGAAAAAATGACTAAACTATGAACAATCAATGCATAAAAAGAAAACATATAGCCACTAGAAAACTGAAAAATTCTCCATTGATTAATACTTAAATAAATCAAATTAAAATAATTGTGCCTACTGACTTAACAAAATAACTCAAGATTAAAATAGTTAAGAAAGAGTAAAACAGCTACTATTTTAAATCACTTATGGTAGGCTTATAAATCAGAATAAATTTTCTGATTGACAATTGGTCAATTATAGAAAACCAGTTAAAATTCCAGATTTCATGATTTGGAAATTCATGAAATGATAAGAAAATAAAACATGAACAAAATAAATATATTTTAATTTTTAATAAAAATGATTTGACTGAATAAATATTTATAAAATGTACTGCTTGGACAATATTTATTAAAATATTGGACACTAAACATCCATCAATAAAGTGATTAGTTAAATTAATTATGGTGTATCTGCATTATGAAACACTATGACACCATTAAAATATATATTTTAAAGTATGACACCATGTTAATAATATATTTGAAGTGAAAATAACCTAAGATATATTCATCTGTATGGTATGATAGCATTTTTGCAAATTTTATGTGGTGTGTTTGTGTAAAAAAGTTTAGAAGACTATTTTTATTCTCTAAGTCATTAAAAAACAATTTTATACTATCAATAAGATGTAACAAAGCTGTCCAGTCGGGTGAGGATATGGTGGCAAATAAGCTATTAGCAATATGATCTACTAAGGAAAGAATTGGACTGATTATTCTTCTTTCCAAATAACATTCTGAGGGTAATACAAGCAAAGACATTGAAAGCTAGTGAGAGGGGAAATTTCAGTTAGAAGAAAGTCTACATAAAAAGTAATTGGTCGCAAAAATGTGAATATATGAATGTTCCTGAGGTGTACACTGAAAATGGCCAAAATAATAAATTTTACATCGTATGCATTTTACCACAATAAAAAGAAGAAATGGGATAAGAACTAATATAATTCTAGACAATAAGATGTTAGGAATTTTCTATGTAAATGAGAGGGAAAGTATTTAGGGAAAAGCTTATACAAAATCATCACTTCAATGATATAAAGCATTATAAGAAAATCACATGAAATACAAACATAATAGTAAAAGAAATTCAGTGTACTCCCTTTCTTACCTAAGCAAACAGGTGGGGATGACCATTTTCCTTGCTCACAATGAGATATTTTTGATCCTTTCAATAAGTAATATTCATTGCATCTGTATTCCACTGAGGATCCTGTTGTATAACTTGCCAATAACAAATCCACAAGAGCTCCATTTATTACAGTAGGTGGAGGCTTACAATTTTCATTATTTTCTAAGAAAGAGGTCATTGTAAAATTAATATTAGCTCATAAAATATAATAATATCATAATAATGTTACCTTACTATAGTATCTCAATATTTGTACTACATAATTGAGTATGATTGATTTTTTAAACATTAGAAATTAAGCAACAATAAACAGCAAGTGTTTTGCCTACAAACAAGTGTGCATATTTTTCTCTTCATGATTGTGAAGGAATTATGAAATAAATATTAAAATCTAAAAAAGGTGGAAGACTGAGGTAGAAGGATCACCTGAGCCCAGCAAGTCAACGTTGGTGTGACCATGAATGTGCCATTTCACTCCAGCCTGGGCAACGAAGTGACTCTCCAACTCAAAAAACAAAACAAAACAAAACAAAAGGGAAACTATGTTCTTCAGCCTAAAGACCACGGTCCATTCTAAAACTTCTCTTTGGCATCATCCACTTTTATTTTCTTTCTAGTCATTCATCTTCATCTCAGGTCTCAATCAACCCATTAATGAAATAGTCTATTTTTTTCTCTCCCTTTATAATCTTTCACTCTGCTGATTTCTTTAGCATCCTTCACAGCTTTTGTCTTATGCAATAAATATCCTACATAAACATGGTCTTGGAGAGTTCTCTAGGATCTGATCAAGAAATGAGAAGGATGATGGGAAGGGTAGAACTCAGGAATGATAGTAGCCTGGCGGTGCCCTTCAATAAATTGCAAGAGCAGGGGCATGTCTCAGGAGATGTAAGGTGCAGAGTGGCCCGATGCAAATTACCAGCAGACTTGCCCAAAGTCAGGAATAGGCTGCTCTCTCTTGACTTTGTAGGAAATACTGGAAGAGGAAGTAGATCATGTTTATGGCCAGCCACTCAATCCAACATGCTCTTATTTACTTGTCTAATGAAGCATGTCATCACTTATTTGCTGTCACTTAAAGGTCACGGGTCATGGCATGATACAGGTCAGATAACTAATGTAGTCAAAAGGTTATTTTAGTTTCCAAACTCTTTACATTGGCTTAAATTCTACAGATGATTTCATACACACACACAAAAAGTAGCCAAGTAGATGCAGTAGCAATGTGTTTCTAACTGTTGTAAGCTGTTCTCTCTTGCTAGGAGTACATGGGTTAAATAGAGAGAATGGAAATTTTTAGACCAGAGGCTGAACTGTTGATGCTAAAGGTGGCATACATACCAACACACTCAGGGTGATGTGTCCATTTTCCATGAATACAAGTTATCTCATTTGATCCATGAAGATAGTAGCCGCTATCACATCCATATGTCACTTTATCCCCATTGTAATAAATCTTAGAGTGTAGGTTTGCCATACCATTCTCAATGGAGGGTGGTTCCTCACATGCTACCTTCTCCTTTCCTTCTAAAAAGGTACAATTTAAAGAGAAGAGGCTATTTGGCTATAGCTGCAGATTTCATTTTAGGGAAAGCTTATTCAAGGTGTTACCAACCAATGCATTTTGGAGGTTCTGTCCATTTTCCATTTTTACAATGTATTTCTTCTGACCCCTGAATCTCAAAATTAAGTTCACACTCTATATGAACTATTTCTCCATGACGGTAAGTTGTTGAATGTGTTTGAATTTTGGAGTTTAGAGGCAGTGGTGGAGGAGGACATCGATTTCTTCTTCCTTGTGGACAAATAACCACATATTTTATCATTTAATTACAAAAAATAAAGATTTAATAAGAATGCTAAGCATCCGAAAGAGTATGACAGGCAGATTCTAGGAGCACCTTTTGGGTCATCTCCTCGCGATGTTCACTTTCTTGTGTTATGCCCCACTCCATGAGCGGGCCTGTGACTTGTTTCTAGCCTATGGAATACCACAAAGATGTAACCATGGAATTGTAATGTCATTCTTGCTGGGAGACTCTCCCCCTGCTAGTTTTGAAGAAGCAAGCCGCCACATTGTGAACGTCCAAATAGGGAGAGCTGCGAGGCAACGGGTAGAGGGCTGTCTCCAGCTGACAACCAGCAAGAAACTGAGGTTCTCCGTTCAGCAACCTGCAAAGCCCTGAACTCTGCCAACAACTACGAGCATGGAAGAAGATTGTTGTCCAGTCCAGCCTCAGATGTTGTCCTACTGACTCTTTGCATCTTTGTTAGACATTGATGCAGAGGAACTAGACTCATGACGTACAGACATTGTGCAATAATAATACAGTTGTGTTGTTTTAAGCTGCCAGGTTTGTGGTAACATTGTTATGTCCGATAGAATACTAAAGCAGGAAGTATTCTATATTCCTTATCTTCTTTGGTACTAAAGTAACTATTTAAGAAGAAACTATTATTTATTCCATATTATAGATAAAGAAACTAAAACTTATATAGTAAGGAAATTAGTAGTAGGCGGTAGATCTGTTCTTGAACCCATGCCTTTCTTAATTAAAATCTCCTGCTCTAAAATACTGACTGTATTAGTTTTCTAGTGCTGCTGTGACAAATTACCACAATTTAGTGGCTTAAAACAACACATGTTTATTCTTTTACAGTGCTGGAAGCCATGAGTCCACAATCACTTGCACTTGGCTAAAATCAAGGTATGAGGAGGGTTCCATTTCTTCTGGTGGCTTTAGAGGAGAATCGACTATTTTGCCTGTTCTCAGAAACTTCTGGAAAATACCTGTTTTCCTTGGCTCTTGATTACTTCTTCATATCACTTCAAGCTGTAGCTTTCATTGTCAAATCTCCTACTAACTCTTTTGTAAGTAAAATCTCCCTTTGGCTCCCTTTTATAAGGATATCTATGATTACATGTAGGTTCCACATTACATGTAGGTACTTCCAGATAATATTTCTACCTCAAGATTTTTAACTATAAAATTTATTTGCCATATAAGGTGACACTTAGTGGTTCCAGGGATTAGGATATGCATATATTTTGGGAGGAATGGAGGAGAAATTATTCAGCCTACTAGATTGAGTCTCCTATATCTAATGACTATTTACTTGAAAAAATAACAGACATATTGGCATGCTAACTAATTTGGATGGGGTAGGAGATATGTAATAGGCATTAGTTAGTTAGAGCTGCCATTTATTTTTGAAATAATATACTACAGAAAAATGTGCTAGCAATCTTCCCCTCTACTGTTACACAAAGCTGTCAAACATAAATGAAAAATCACAAAATCAATAAAGGTGTTGTTAAGTGCATTTAGAGAATTACGACAGTTCTGGGCAATTCCACCGCCTACTCCTGGTCAGCTCCCTCCTTCATTTTTCCTAGCTCTTTTCTCAAATCTTTACCACTCTCTATTTTATGCACTTTCATGTCTCTTACCTGTCTGTCATCAGTGACATTATATACTACATTACAGAGAAAATAACAACTATCAAGACCTTTACCTCTTCCCACCCCTCCTAATCCTCAAACTCCTATTCATATTTTATATCCGTATCAAATATTCATCACTTCTGTGAATGCTATTCCACAACAAAACAACATATCAGAATCTTTAATGTTTATTCAAACACTGTGTACCTGATTTTATTATACCATTTGTTACATTATAGCAATGGTTTTTCATATCTGTTTTCTCTGCTAGACTAATAACTTCTTCATATTCCATAGTAGGTCCATTTAACTAACTACTCAATTGGTGTCTCCTAACAGGCCACCATACCATCTTCTTAAACACATCTGGTGAGAAAAATGTAATGCTAGCTATTTCATTTTGGATAGCTCTTACTAGATGACCTCATTTTTCACTTTTACTTCTGGGTAACATTCCTTTGCTTTTTCTGCTCTCTACTCCACTATTTTGAAGATAAGATTTTCACATCAGGAAATATGTGTCCAATTAAGAGAAAGCAAAGCATCTTCACAAAGCTACCAGATTGGGATAAATAAAATAGATCTACTAAAATTTCGAATCAGACAAGTTATTCATTATAATAAGAGATTCACAATTTATAATAGAGATTTCTAAATAATACATTTAAAAGATATAATCACCCCTCAAACTAACACAAAACTTAAGATTTCTTCAGATGAAATATATTAAAGGTTGCCGAAAATAGCACTGATTTAAAAGACAATATTTTTTTTTTAATAGTACTCATAGCTGGGTGTGGTGTCTCAAGCCTGTAATCCCAGTACCTTGGGAGGCCAAGGCAGGAAGATTGCTTGAGCCCAGAAGTTCAAGACCAGCCTGGGAAACAAAATGAAAGCTCATCTTAAAAATCAATCAATAAATGAAAGTGAAAAGCAAAATAAATAAAATAAACATGGTACTCGAAAAACAGTTAGATATCACCACATTTTGTCAGAGCTCATAGAGATTAAACCTGATAAAGACACGGCATGTTATTTGTGAGTGTGAAATTTTAAAATTTACCTTCACATACAGGAGATTCTGGGTACCAACCAAAGTTATAGCATTGAATTAAATCAGATCCACTCAGATAATAATTTGCATGACAGAAAAACTGAACTACATCTCCTTCTTCATAGATCTGCTTTACAGGATGAAAATAACCATTTTCTATTAATCTTAAAGAAGAGCACTTCAATTCTAAAAAGAATGAATGAAATACAAAGAAGTGTTTATTTTTTCTGCAAGAACAAATTCATTTACTACATACATGCCATATCTGAAATAAAAACTAATAAATTTGCAATTTTCTGTTTTAAATAATAAAAACTTAGGAATTCATTTTATACATTTAGTAAATGACATTAGGTTTACTCTAATTTAATTCTGTGAGCTAAAATATATTTTTCTACTTGAGAACTTTAAATGATCAAAACCTACTATCAATAAAAAAGTAGGAAAATTAAGAATAAACATGGCAACTTACATACACTTCTCTATGAGAGAAAACTTTTGGAGTGAATCAGATTTTATTCAAAATGAGAACCTACTGGTGCATTTCGGTGTGAGAGACCATCCGTATGTGTGACACTCCACCTCCTCTATCTTCTTTCCTCCAGCTGTGTAGTAGCCAGGAGCACATACGTATTGTACTATTTCATTCACTTTGAAGGTTTTCTGTGTTGTGGAATAATTTCCATTATATAATTCAGGAGCCAAACATGTTTCTAAAAATATGTTTTAAAGTATTTATTTCATGAACTTCATTAATAACCTAGAATATTAAAACAAAATCCCAAAATCTATTTTCACTGAATCTTAAGAATATATGGCAAAGACAACTCTTGGAAAAATTGGAAAATAATCAAAATGCCTTTGCCTCTCCATTTTCTTTTTTCAATACACTTGTGATCTAACTCTGTCAGTCTTGTATTTTTAAAATTCTCACCTGTCTTGGCCAAAGGTGACAATTCAGCTGAAGACTTTTGCAGTAGCAATTTTTTGTGTATGTGCCATCTACAGATTTGTGCACTTTAAACAACTTACAACATACTAACAGAGACTGTATAGTCAAATTATTGAATAATTTTCAAGCATAACAGACATTGGTTTATGATATAAAAGAATGTGCATAATCTCAAATTCTCCTACAATAAAGAAAATAGAGATGTATATATGTTGCAAGAAAATAAGTTTATTAAGTTTCTTTCATTTTATTCCATCCCAATTCCTTTGTATTAGTCCAAAGTGGGAACTACTGAAAATTGAAAAAAGCAATATAATATCCACTTTCCACACTGGAAATTATAATTAAAAAATTATATTAAGTAAAAATGTTTATCAATATAAGAAAGTACTAGTCTCACAGACTCTTATCTTCAGTTTTAGAAAATGAATCTTACACACATACCGTGTTCTCCCCTACAGGTTGGTTGGGAAGACCATCCATCAGAAAGACATTGAACCACTTCTTCATCCTTTCCTTCAGGGGTTTTATAACCTGAGTCACAACCATAACGCATGCTTTCTTGAATTTTGTATAGTAACTTTAAATCAGAGATATAACCATTTCTGAGATCAGGCTTAGCGCACTTTTCTATAGGAAAAAAATGTTTATTTGCTTAACATGATGACAAAATTAATCTTCTTTTATTTTTTTTAACAAATTGTAGAATTAAGGCAAAAGTACAAAATTACTCTTAGCTGGAATTTGAATGAGAAAGATATAGTTTTCATTTTATAATTCCTTAATTTAATTTAATTTTGGGATTACCTGCCTAAATTTCTTTTGAAAAATGGATTGAATTTGACATTGACTTTCATTGTATTTACTAATCTTAGTTCTTACAGTCACTCCTGCTCCTACCACATTTACATGTTTACTAGATCAGTCACAGTAACCAACATATCAAATTTTCTTTTCTAAATGAAATGGACTCAGTCAAAGCCCCTTACTGTGGAAAACAGAGCTTGGGGAATTCTTCTTAGCTCATGAAAGTTCACATGACCCAATGTAAGCCAGTCAATAGCTTGACATAATGTAGACTGACAAATTTGAACTCAAAACTCAGATAAACCAATTTTTTTCAATGAATATTATGAGAGAAATTGACATACAAAGGAGAGAAAAGGCTTGCAAATGACAAAGCATGTGAGTAGCAATCTTGTCCTTCCTGAGGTGTGTCTTACGCATTTTCTGACTTCTTATGCATAATTATTTATGTAAGTTTCTCATTACTTAAAGTTACTAAATTACATCCCTGTCTCTTGCAATGTGATAGATAGGAATTTCCTGTTCCTTTTACAGGATTTTATTAAAAACAAACAAAATAATATTTTAATGTAAAAGCATTATTTACATAATTTCATACTATGCCTTCATTTTGTAAAAAATGGCAGTTTGCCAGTAATTTTGTTCATACCTACAAAAATTCCTACTACTGAAACCTTATTTTCATAAACAAATTTATGTGAGTATTGTAACCCCTGTGTTATCACATTCAGCTGACTTACTGAAGCACCTTGGTTCTGGAGACCAGCCTTCTGCTGTGCATGTGGTTCGCTCTTCTTGTTTCCCGGTTTCAGTTGTGTAACCAGCCAAGCAGAAAAATGACAATTTTTTGTCTATACTCATTGGAAAGTAAAAGCTTTTAAAAGTATAGTAATACTGAGCAATCCTTCCATTTTCCACATGAGGAAAACCACAGGGTTTCTCTGAAACAGTAAATGTCAAGTTGAAAATGGAAAAACTTACCTAAAAGCGTAAAATTTGTGATCAAGTAGCAACATATTTTTAAGTTAAAATTTTTTGCAGACACATAACTAATATTTATTTTTATTTTTAAGGTGATTTTGAGACACTACAAGCATTCTCCTTTTTCAATCATAATTAATCTGCTAGTCACTCAAATACCCAACAGTCAGGATAAAACTGGACAGGTCACTTCCTCAGGCAAGTTTTTCCTAACTTTGTAAGACAGCACTTTCTAACAGATGTGCAATGCAAGTTGTATATATAGATTTTAAATTTCTGGCAGTCACATTAAAAAAACTAAAAATGAAAAGTTGAAATTAGTTTTAATAATAGGTTTTATTTGATCCAATATATTAAAAATATTTTCACGGCCGGGCTCGGTGGCTCAGCCTGTAATCCCAGCGATTTGGGAGGCCTAGGTGAGCGGACTGCCTGATCCTGCGGGTTCAAGCCCCCGCCTGGGCAACTTGGCGAGACCGCATCTCTACAATAAATCAAAAAATCAGCCAGGCGTGGTAGCGCGCGCCTGTAGTTCCGGCTACTGGGAAGGCGGAGGACGGAAGGATCGCCGGAGCCTGGCAGGTCGAGGCTGCGGTGTCCGGGAGCGGCCACTGCACTCCAGTCTGGGCGACAGAGTGAGACTCCAACTCAAAAA